GGCCCTGCTTTCCTTCTAAAAATAGATATGTGAATAGTCAGGTGGAAACATGTGCCAACCATGCATTTTCTGTACCCTAGTTACAGCTTGAAATCTTAGTGAGTTTTGGGGTTAACTTCAGTTTTTAAAGCCATTTCACAGCCTCTTTGGAGAATGACAGCATGAAATGTCCATCTCTACAGGAGTGATGAGTAATAGGGACATGCTTTTGGACACGTGTGATTAAGCTACTGCTGAGACTGCGATCGCACATCCCTTCTTTCTCTGCATCACTGGTTCCCTCATTTGCTGTTGGTTTGGCTCACTGATCCAAAGTCTCATTGGATGGTTGCTGGGGGGCAGCTCTGAGCAAACTTGGCGGAAATTGCGGGTTTCCACTTCCTCCTCTCATTTCACTGTTTGCTGCTCGCTTGACAGAAGGAGAACGCTTGGAGGTGCGCATGAAGCGTCTCGAAGCCAAGTATGCCCCACTCCACCTGGTTCCCTTAATAGAGAGGCTGGGCACTCCGCAGGTAAGGATTGCATTGAAAGGGATGGCTGTTAAGACTCATAACAGTCCCCAGATGGCCTCGTTGGCCTTGGGAGAGTGATCCTATTTCCACTGAAAATGTCAAGCAGACAAGAAAATCCAAATCCTTGCCCTGGCGGACACTAACATCTTGAAGGGAAATGTATGAGTGGGTCTAGGGATGGTGTGTTGCTGCCTCCGGTCCGGAGAGCTAATAGGGGAGCTGTAAGGCATGTGGGATAGAAGCCAGCTCTGAACATGAGCAGCTCTGAAAACCTCTTTCAACTTCATTTTAAAAAGATGGAGAATCCCGGGGTGGTGTGAAGGGAGACATTAGGGGGCTCTCAGACTTAAGCAATTGCCATTACTTTTGTGGATCCCAATTTAGGACTGCAGTGTGGTACATTTTTAAGTTCTTCCCTGTCAAGGAATACATCTGAGAATGGTTTCCCTCCTAGCATATGCTTACAGCTTCAGCACATGCTTAAAATTACAGCTCCATTTAAGTGCTTTCTTGACATAGGATCTCAGCTTGAGAAAGATCTATTTTGTGCAGAAACTGAGTGCTGTTAAAAATATCTCAGCAGAATCAATTAATACAAGACGCAAAATTCTAGCTGCGTTGCTATCAACAACCCAACTTCCACTGCCTATTTAGTGCAGTGGAACAAAAAAGAAAAAAAAATCAAAATACTGATACTAAAATACACTTTTTTTCTGAAATTTACTGTAGACAGAATGGAACAGTTGTGTGAGGTGACAGATCTGTGGCAGACAGATGTTAATGTTTTCTTATTTTTCTAATGGATCAAGGACATTTTGAACTTTGCTTCATTGGAAATCATATGAAACAAAGAAACTTGCTGTTTAACTGAGGGCTCTGTCTTATTTCATAGACACGTCTCTCGCTTCCCATTGGCTTCCTTTTGAAGGATACACTGGAGAAAAAAGAATTCACCTCTGTGTTTTTGTGTCTTTGTGTTGGTCTTTCTCTCTCTCTCTCCTGCTTTCCATGCAAAATCATCATTGAAATATGCTATTAGAGTCCACTTGTTGCTTATTCCTGCCATAGTTAGGATCATGATGAAAACAAAGGGTATTTCTTAGACAACTAAACAAGTAAAATTTCTGTAAAACTGTTTGCAGTTGGCTACCTAGATAAAGTTGAGTTGCAGATCTTTTTTGAGCTCAGGTGTAAATGAACACAACAGTCACTTTCTTTAGGTGCCTCCATAGCTTCTAGCTTGCTCCTGGAAATGCAGTTTTGGACACAGGCATTTTTTTTTCCTGCAGAACACATGAGCACCTTTTAACAATTGTCCAGAGTCCTAGCAGAAGTTGGCTGCTAGGTGCCTTTCCCAAAAGGTGACACTATTCATTTCACGTAATAATCAATATGCTGCAAAGGGTCTGAGCCAGAGTCTGCTGAAGTCAAGGGGGATCTTTCCACTGGTCTTGGCAGGCTTTGCATATGGTTCTTTCAAGTTTGTTAATTAATAATCCGTAAAAGTGGTAGCAGCGTAACTGAGGTTGTGCAACAATGGCAAAACTGTCCGTAATTACATTTTATGTTATTGGCTTGCACTAGAAGTATCCAGATGTAGCTGCTTGATAGGTGATTCATGAAAAATCAGGGGGGTCAGAGTGTTTCATGGTGTAAATCTTCTCCCTTTTAAGGATGAGGAAGGATATACAGCAGAGGGTTTTTCAGAAATGCTTGATCCTTCTAATTTTTTCAGTGCAGGGATTGGGAGCCCTTCTATTGAAGGCAGAGAGGAGCCAGCAATGTGGCATCCTTTGACAGTCTTATCAGGATAGGACCCTTCCTCAGCTAACTTTGGAAGTCAGCATTGACATGCTAAGCAAAAGTGCTCCTTCCACAGGGAGGCAGCAACCCCGGACTCTGGGAGTTCTCCTCATGGGAATAAGAGCCTTGACCAAGCTAGCCAGCTACCAGCAGCGCTCGTCCTATATCACAGACTGAATTTATGATGATGAAATTTAGGAACAAATTCTGTCTGAGAGCATGTATGAAGGAGTGGCACCATGTTCTTTGAAAGCCAGGTGTGTCCCTTTAGATTAAGAGTTCTTCAGAAGCAATTTAGATTTTTGGACTAATAATTCCTGAAAATAATATCTGCTCAGTATATTTTAGCAAACTAATGCCTTATTTTTATGTGAAATGGCTACACTTTGACTGTGTCCCCATTTTGCCATTATAGAATAGTGTGCCTAGATACTAATCTATAACCATAAGAGGTTGGAGCAGGTGAGGAAAAGCAAGCAGGCAGCCACTATCAATAAAAACATACTACATAAATCTTTTGTTGCTAAACAATACAAACATACACAACTGTGTGGTGATTTTCTGTCCACAATATGATATTTTAACTTATTTTACCTTGACTCTCCAGAAACTAGTTTCCAACCTAGTCTGCTGTAAAAGTACTGCAGAGTGAATTTATGTTCCTCTGTGACCTGCAAGAGCCAGATCATCACCTGGGTAAAGGATTGGCACTGTGAGATGGTCACATGAAACCGATATCGCTCCTGAGTTTAACAAATATGCAGGTCCCAGATCCAATCTGACTTCTGTACAGCAATTCAGCTTTCCTTTTATGTTTGCTATTAGTTGAACATTAATTGCTCTGAGGTTCCTCAAATGTCCTTGGAATTGTTTTTTTTTTATTTTTATTTTATTAGTTCTACATTCTAATTGCAGTACAAGCTCAAGGAGTGTGGGCAGTTAGCTAAAGAGGATCAGTGCTCCCTTGCTGGGGGGAAGACCCTACTTATCTGTTAAAAATACTCTTATTTTGCTTGCGGGAGTGATGGGGATGAAATGAAGTCAAGGTATCTTTTCAGTTTTCTCCTAAAAGCCAAATGAACTCTATCATGATTCTAGAGGAGCTCTTGCAGACTGTGTTCCTAAGTGGGGATGGCACAAAAATTCTCCACGTATCTCCACATATCCACCTTCCATATCTGGAAAATATTATTTGACTTTCTTATAAACCACAGGTTTTCCAGTATTAAGGTTCTGGTGGCTTCACATCTTCCTCAGAACTTTTTAATCTTAGCTAGAAAAAAATCAAGAAAGCTGCAACTTGCCTGTCTTTTAAAGAGATGGTGGTAATGCCCTGGTTAGCAAAATGTCCCTGTTCTCTCCTAGTTTATTTTTATAATCTGCACACAAAAAAAGACATTAAACCCAGCAGTAAACCCAGCACTGCTGAGTAATGCTAATATAACAAAACAGCATGCTCTCAGAACTAATGATCAGTATTTCTGATTAGAGGTACACCTTCGGCTGTTGTTTCCTGACATACAGTTATCTCAAAAGATTGTTGGATTGATGGCACATAATTGAGCATAATATTACACCTTCTTCCATTTGAGGGATAAGTATTCTGTAGTGGGGAGTGCCATGGGAACAACCATTAGAGGTAAGGTTGGACCTTGCATGGAATATGCCATTAACTTTGAAGGAGCTGGGAGAGACTGGGAAAAGCTAAGTCCAGCAAGAGAGTACATCTGTATCACATTGTCACTTCTGTTTCTTTGATTTTCCTCATTCTCAGCAAATAGCCATTGCCCGGGAGGGTGACTTGCTGACCAAGGAGCGGTTATGCTGTGGGTTGTCCATGTTCGAGGTCATCCTGACGCGCATTAGGAGCTACCTGCAGGACCCAATCTGGCGTGGGCCACCCCCTACAAACGGGGTCATGCACGTGGACGAGTGCGTGGAGTTTCACCGGCTCTGGAGTGCCATGCAGTTTGTGTACTGCATCCCCGTGGGCACGAACGAGTTCACTGCAGAGTGAGTGTTCCTCAGACAGCTCTGCCATTAGCGCAGAAAATGAGGTCGCGTAAGCTAGCAAGCCCCAGGATGTCCTCAGCCTCAGCCATAGCCTTGGCTATTGGAGAAGTGGAAGAAAAACGTGGTCAAACATGCAATGAGTTGCTCCTTAGAGTATTCCTGGTTTCCCCTCGTTTCTTTCGAGCTAAGACAGGGTCTGTTTCTTAGCCAGCATTTTATGGGAAGGGGTTTAGTGATGCGATTTATTGCTTCAGCTATTCCTGTCATCCATCATTTTTGTTATTTATATCACGTCAACTCCTAGGTACTCGAGGAAAGAACTTTGTTGTGTATGCACCTAAAGAGATGTGCAAAGAGCTTTTCTTCCAGGCACTAAAGAAAAGGAAAAAGGAAAAGGAAAAATAGCAATGAAATTGAAATGCCCAAGGTCAAATTCAGAAAGGAAACTGGTGGATGGGACTTCAACCCCACCCACAGGCCAGTTCCTCAACCATCATATCCTGTGGTTGCACCAGCAGCTTGACCCTGCCGTAATTCTGTACATCTCATTTTAAGTTCCTTTCTCTCAGGTATACACTTTCTTGGAGTAGGACTGAATCAGATATCCCCAGGAATTTGTCAAGGAAAGTTACCGGCATCACAGTAGGACAACTTTTATCTAACTATATCCTGTCATGTTTTCTCCATCCCATCACCCTGTCCCCATTCCAGGCAGTGCTTTGGAGATGGTCTGAATTGGGCAGGTTGCTCTATCATTGTTCTCCTTGGACAGCAACGTCGCTTTGACCTCTTTGACTTCTGCTACCACTTGCTGAAGGTGCAAAGGCAGGATGGGAAGGATGAAATCATAAAAAATGTGGTAAGTGAGGAATAAGGTCCCAAAGGACCTGGACCAGCACGCTTCTACCTGTAATTTTTGTCTTACCCTTGTCCAGCCTTACAAATCGTGAACATGTCTGGTGTTACCTTATTCAGATTGGATACACTTACTATGCAATTTCCATCTGCAGTCTCAGCAGAGGGGCCAAGGTTTTAATTGCCTTGGCAATTGAATGTTGTTTGCTCCTGAAGCTTTTCCCTTCTTCCTGGGGTTGGGAAGCTAGGTCAGAGAAGCCGGTATTTCCACTAACCATCCTGTAATCTTGGTGGCTTTGTCAATAAGCAGTTGGAAGTCTACTAAGTCTAGACTATAGATTGGTTAACAAAGGACCACACACTGACCTTGTTAATGCTCTTGATTCTTGAGTCATCAAACCCTAAAATGAAGTGAGTCACCAATGCCTGGGAAGTGCTAATTGGATGGGTAATGCATGGTATAGCTGCTGCACTTTAACAAAGGTTTCCTAGCAGTCAGAGACACTGATATTTCTATCTGAGCAAATGTCCTAAGATTCTCTTGCTTCATCTGCTGTTCTTCTCCCTCACCATCCCTCCAGCCCTTGAAGAAGATGGCTGACAGGATCAGGAAGTATCAGATCTTGAACAACGAGATTTTTGCCATCCTGAACAAGTACATGAAGTCAGTGGAAACAGACAGTTCCACAGTGGAGCATGTGCGCTGCTTCCAGCCCCCAATCCACCAGTCCCTGGCCACCACTTGCTAGTGTGGACACTACCCCTTTTGGGTTGAGAAGTGAGAAGAGACTGAACCCAGAATGACTGCGAGGAATCAACTCGACAGTGTAGGATCTGGCAACAAATAAGACTAGGTATACCTAATACACAAGAGGACACATCTTCTTATATGGCCCTATCTGAGTGCATGTTCTTCTGAAACATCCCTGTGACTGGTTTTCCTTGTAGCTTTAAAAATGGGAGGTGGGTGGGCAAAATGTGCTTTTCTTCCATGAAGTGGTCTGTTTTTCCCCTGCAATTCATCCGGTCGAACACTTCACTCTGCAGCCATGGGGTTCCAGGCAGAGTTGCTTGTTTCAGGAGCGCTGGAAGCCTTCTCCCACCACAGAAGCAATGGATGCCCCTGTGATACATGCCACCAGCCACGGAGCAGCAGACAGACCCTGACTTACTCCTTGGCAGAAAAGGAGCATGAAGGCACAATTTCAGCTGTAACAGCACCCTGAGGATGAAGCGATCTAAGCAGAGAAGGAAAGCCCTGCCGTGCTGGTCTTAAATTCCTGTATGACCTAGGTTGAGGCCACCTTTGTTACTCCTGACAAGTCACCTGCCTTTTCAGCATCTCTTAAAGGGATTTTTGGCACATCAGCTTCAGAACAGCGATGACCTAGATGCCAAATAACTCCTCAGTGTTTCAGAGAGCTGAGGAAAGCAAAAACATCAGGGCTTTTTCTTTGCTAAGGCACATTCACCTATTATAATTCAAGGATTCTTCCCTGAAGTTTTATCTTCCATGGAGTAAACAAGATTTCTTGAAGCGCACAGAGGAGTCCACATTCACCTCAGTATGCTCTTGAGTATTTTAATTTGACAAGGAGAGAATAATCACTGATTCTGACAGGAGGCAGCTGGAACATAGGTGATCTTTAACCTCTAGACAAGAATGGGAGCTGGGATGTCCTTTTCTCTTGTTCTAGATGAATTCCTAGCAGCACAGTCTCCAACTATCTCTAGAAAATGGTGAATTTCAGCAGGCTGTAGTAAACTGCAGATAACTCAGAAATGATATTGTAGAAGAGAGAAATCACAGAGTTTTCCAGGCCCAAAGACATTCTGAGGGAACATCAGGGTCTGTTTTTTTCTCCAGTTCAGCTCATCTAACACCCTCAGCTATTGAAAACAAATTAAATGGAAACTTCCAGAAGGCTTTTTCTATTCACCATCTTCTCTGCTTTGCCACAGTAATGTAATTGAAGTGATGCAAAAGTTTGTGCTTGAAGTTAAAGGAAACCAAACTATATACAGCACAAGAAAATGCTGCTAGCCTTACTACCACAAGAAGTTTTAACATTTTAACTTCTCAGATTTAATCAGGTCACAGCAGGTAATTGCTGTTTTGATATACAGAAGTGATATATATACACCTTTCATTCATCACGCCTTGTAAACTGTATGCTATTACAGATGCAAAAAAGGCAGAGCCTGAGCATTTATTCTCTTGGAGGAAACACATAACTAATTAGTGGAGATGTCCCAGCTGGAATATTTGGTCTTGAGAAACAGCAGCCTGCACAGTTTTATTAGCAAGAGGAGATCGTGCTGTGCAAGATAAGTTTTTGGGAGAACACAGTTGTACCTATTTCCTTGATAATCAGTATATTCCACATATGAAATGTGCTGGACATTTTACACCTTGAGCTTCCTTTAGCTGCTGAGAAGGATATTTAAACTGCAGTGAGGAATTTCTGCGGCACAATTATCTGAAAGTAAAATGAAATCTCAGGAAGCCTGGCTGAAATCTTTGAGTGGCAGGAGAAGGACCCAGCCTGGGAAAGTGCGATCATCTCCCTCTTGACATGAGGTTGAACAGCAGAAGAGCATTTGGACCCAGTCACACTGAGAGTCTCTGACCTGCCTTTACTCTTCCACCAAGGATGTCAGTTCTGATTTTCCAACACCTCTACACTGCTGAAACTACTGGAGTCAGAGGATTTCAGATATATATATTTTTAAAGGAAGAGGAGAATCAAGCACTTTATTTTTTTGTGGAAAACAAGATATGAGGAAAGTAGATCTTACTAAGACCGTATTTTTCCTGACCGAAATAGTAAGTGCTTGTTATTTTGATATGCACGTGTTGCAGAAAAGGTGGCAGAAGACCCTGTCTGGCTCACAGAGCCACCTCTGGGAACGGCACAAATTAAATGTCCCACTATGTCTGACATGTTATGGGGTGTTGGAAACTTGCCAGGAACCAGCATGAGTAAGAACATAATACTGAAGGATGAACTGTATCACAGAGTCCAGCCAGCTACCTAGACAAAAGAGGACATAGCAAAGTGAATTTACATACCTGTGTTCGTGTGTTTAGGTTTGGAGTGAGTCCTGAGATGTTTTACCTAAGCATGGGTATAACTTTGCATTCTTTTACTGTAGTTTTGGTATAATAATTCTGTGAAAACCTGAAAAACACAGTTGGGTGTTCTTAAACAGAACAGGCAGATGAAATCTGTTGCCCTCAGATTTGCTGGCAAAATGCACCCCTTTGGATTCCAAGGGATGAAATGTTTCAAGCAAAATGTCCAAAGTGCATGAACAAGATGTAAATTGTTTTTGGCTCTAGAGCGTATGCAGATGTCTTGCCTTGTTGCTCAAATAGTAGGAGGTATCAGCTAGAAATAATCGTACAGTTTCATTTCTGAGATTTGATGTTATTGTCCTTTTATTATCTAAAGGATCAAAATAGTCCTTAGTTTCCATTCTCTAATCGTCCTTGATTGTACATGAAGAGGTTCAAGTTTAGGTCTGTAAAGAACTCAATGAAATGGATTTTTTCCTTCATATCCTTTTATAATGTAATAATGAGTGGAAATAGGGAACAAATTTTTAACAGTAGCACTTAATAGTCATAGATTGCCAAGGTGCGTGGTAAATTCTCCACACTTGCAGATTTTCTGCCAAGTTTGGATGTCTTCCATGCAGATATACCCTAATCCCATGGTTTTTAATTCTATGGTTTTCAGCCTTTTACAATCCACAGGCACCTAATATTTTTCCAAGGAATCATAAACTGTACAGATAATTTAAGCCAGCTAACCCTGTGCTTGCTTTTTTACCTACATTTTCCTGATTGTAGTAGTCTGCAAACTCCCTGGGATTTGCCAACCACCACACAGAATGCCTGCTTCAAAGACAAGATGTTGGCTCAATACAGCAACTACAAGGAAAGAAAGTATGGTCTGTAAAATGAAGTGAGGCTAGATTATTGTAAACAGCTCCTGTCACCCTAAAATTGTAAAATGTGACTATTTGCAGTGCACATCACAAAGGTGATGCTAGGCTGGACTTTCAGTGATATGAAGGGGAAGCAAACTAGTTCAAATTCTGCACTTAATGGTTTTTCTTTTTAGCCCTGGCAGCACTTGTTATTAGCATTGAACAACATGTTAGTCCTTTTTCTCCTGCATTACTCTAGTCCAGTAGATTCATGCGTGTTTAAGAACAAAAGAGAAAATAATGGAAAGTGTAAAAAACAAACAAAAAGAAAATGTTCTCAGAAACTCTTGTCAAATGTACCATATTTGTATGAAGAGCTGCTTGAGTTATTTTGTACAATGAATTTTATTTATGGTGGGGTATATTTACGCTTGTGATCTGATACGGTGTTAAATTTTTGATCCATATTTGCTATGCAGCTGAAGATGATAAATTGGTTTTGTATTATTATTATTATTATTTGCTGTTGTTCTAAAATTCAGCCAACAGAAGTTTCCATCTTCATTAAAAAATGCTTCTGTAAGAGTAAAGCATCTGGTACATGGTGATATGTCCCGTAACACAGCAACCAACTGTGTGTGCAACAAATGTGGGATGAATTTTGTGATGAAGCAAAATAAAAATTGTGCTCATTCATGAAATGGGCAAACTTTACATTGTGGCATCATCATTGCTGTGATAACTATTATCTGGGGAGAACCACTGATTGCACCTGGCAGAAAGGAAAAAGCTAAGAAGAATAAAGGCCGCATTGTGTTGCTAAAAAACATCCATCATCTGGCAGAAACTGGAAAGCAAAGGGAAGCTTCTGGCCTACAACAAAACAAGTCAGTGTAGGCTAGTTGATGACTTTTTGAGAAAGACCTACTCTTACCATAGATTTGGAAACTTCTTTCAGTGTAAAAAGGCAGGGAGAGGGGATTTATTGCCTAACTCTACTCAAAGTTAAACTGGGGCTCTGATTTCCTCTATGACCACAGGCTTGCCAGTCCTTTGTATTCCAGGACACTCTCCTTGCTATTTTTTTGACATTTCCATTTGAAAGCATTCTTCAGTTCCTGTTAGAAGCATCCTAAGAATTACAGTGGTTGTTGACTGCAGAAGGAGAGATGGGGACAGAGACAAAATAGCCTCCTGAGAGCTGGACTTTTCTAGGTGGAGCTCAAGCAATAAGAAGAAATGAAGGAAGAATGGCTTTGTAGAAAAGGAAAGGGGGAAACAACTGATGGAGATCTATGAGACTGGAAGCATCTGTGCTTCATCAGTTCTTGATAAAAAATGCCTTAAGCGATATTCTCTTTCATAGCTTCTTCCCAAGGGTTCTTCATGGGAATGGCTTCCTCGCTCAGGAGAAATGGTTTCATGAATGGTTGGTTCTCCATGAAAAAAAATAGAAGTGAACTTTACACCATGGGCAGGCAGCTCTGTTGATCTTTCTGGTTTACTTTAAGTCCCTGGACACAGGAGGACACAGCAACCTCTTCTCTGAGGCTGCGGGTGAAGGTTGCCCAATTGTTTACTGATTTCAACGGTTCTGCATCAGGGAATGGCTGAGGCAAGAGCGGGATGCTCTTCCTGACTCAGACACTGATATTAGGCAAGTCACTGAGTTTCAGTCCTTTCCTCCACCTGTGTTTCCCCCTGCTTTTGTAAGTTGATCTTAGCTGGTGTCTCGTGGGCTCCCAATACAGCCAGCCATGCTGTGGCAGTGCTGGGAGCTCACAGGTTGCGCTGGCCTCACCTGGAGCCGGCAGGAATTCTGGCTGCAGGTACCAGGGACCTGATGTTTTGATAGCTGACCTTAAGGGACCAGTCATCAAAAATACAGGCCCACATTTGCTTTCTTCATCTTTCTAAACATATTTATGTCCTCAGATTAAAGGCATTCTGCCCACACAAAGAAAACTTCATTAGTGATTGTTTTATTACTTTGAAAGTGTAACAGAATGACTTTGTGACACGCTTCTGCAAGACCACAAGCGACTTTCACATCTGTTTTTGCTTGCTTTAACACACCCACTCCTGATGTGGTGCCTCGGGGCCTCTGTTCCCCAGTGAACATCCATCTGACTTCCCTTAGCCGCCCCCTGCTCCTCTCCTGTCTACCGGTGCGGCTTATGGGGCCACAGCGACCTGGCTCACTGAACTGATCTAGAAAACAGAATAACAACCCTGCAAAAGCAATTGGGGTATGTTCTACAGCCTGGCAAACCGGGCTCGCTCCTCTGCTCTGCAACCCAGACCTGTAGATACTTGCAGCAGCACCACTACAGCGGTAGGAGGTGGGTGTGACGGCTTGGGAATTCCTGGATTGGCGTTGTCATCAAACCTCAGGTAGCATGAAGTGACAGCCTCGACCACTGACGACATGGCCACCTTGAGATAGCCTATATTAAAACCTGCCTGGTTAGTGAAGTCCCTTTTCTTCAAGCTTCGAGCATCTTTCCATGAGCTGCAGTCATCTGAACACCAGGCAATTCTTTAGCCAGTTTCATTGGCAGAAAGAAAAGGATTTATCCTCTCTTTGAAGCACTAAACTGTTGCTTGAAGCCCTCAAAATATATAAAGCTACAGCAATATTGCAACCCTGTCCAGAAAGCTTCCATGGGAGCTGCACCCTGCAGATGTCCAGAGCAAAAGCTTCAATCATCTCTTAGCAGAATGCTTCCACCAGCTTTATAATCCAGGACAACTGATACCTAATATTTTCCCATCATTTTTCTAGGCTAGGAGAGAAGAGAAGAAAGGGCAGGGGAAAGTCTTTTGATGTTGCTGAGGATGCTATTTACACACAAAGCTGTCTTGCCCTATCCCCTGGATTCCAGTCAAGCTTTTTGGCTGTCAAACCAGTATTTCAGGAGGAACCGCATTGTGAAAAGATGAGCCACTAGGAAGACTCCCTGTTTTCTGATGAGTTGGACATTATTTATAAGGAAACCCCTAATGCAAGTATCAACCAGTGAGGTCATAGCTTAGATCTGCATCCCCTTAATTACAAGCTTCCCACTGAAATGAGGGTACAAACCAACAACAAAGGCATTGGTTGCATTGCTGCTCTATATTATCAGTCTTAATTTATCTTTGAGTAAGTGAAGGAGTCAATTCCATGTCAATCCTATGTGGCTGCTAACCCCTGTATTGCCATACACAATGGGTTTGCCTTGTTAAACCCATTTAATGCAATTCCTGTGATTTAACATATAGTAAAATATGGTCATGTTACTCTGTTCCTTTAGGAAAACAGGCTAATAGGTGAAGTAAAGCCCAAGGCGCCCTTGGCATTCAACCATGCTACCACATCTGTTGTGCATTTATGAGGTTGTAGAGTGAGGCAGGTAAAGTATTGATTCAGTTCTTGGAAAAAAAAATAAACTTTTAACCCTGCCACAGAGATCTACAAATTTGCATCCCTCCTAACTGCTCTTAAAGCTTGTTTTCTGAGTACAGTAGGGAGCCGCACTCGGTACAGGTACCAGCAACCATTTTTAGTAAGAAGTGAAACTTTCTGAAATACAAGCATGACTCAGGGCTTAATTTCTCCTGTTTATTCTTAATTTCTGTACACTGCTCTCTGCAGTATAAAGTCCACAACTTTTCTGCATGCACAGCATGCTCAGCATATGCCCAGGCGTACACAGAACCTTATACACTAGGCTCGTACTCCATGATCACACACCAAATGCACAGAAATGCAGCCCCTAGCTTTGTGACAATTTCTTCCCTTCCTTCCTACTCTTCCCAAACGATGCAAAGAGGAAAAGAAAAACACCACAGAGGAGAAACCCATGTCCACCTGCTGAGCTTAGCGCAGGCAGAGCCAGAAGAGCCTAGTCCCAAATCTGTGCAAGGGCTGCCGAGCGCCGCTGCAGCTGCCTCCCTGCCCAGTTCCTCCCCTCCTCAGACCCTGCTCAGGCAGGGGACACTGGGCTGGGGATGAAAGGTGCAGAGGGGGACACTTTCACAGCAGGGGTCTTGCTTGGGGGGAGCAGGGCCTGCAGGGGAGTTCCCTTTCGTGGTAGTGGGGGGTGGATGGCACGGAGGGGTGCAGGCCTGGCACGGGCTGCCTTGCACGTGCATCCACCCCGGCGCGCCGACCCAGGAGGAGGAGGAGGAGGAGGAGGAG